GGAAATGGGCGTATGAGAACCTGATGGTGTTTAACACTGAAAAATGCAAAGGTCTCCACCTTCGGAGGAAAAACCTGCAGCATGTGTATAGGCTTGGCAGTGCTACGCTGACTAGCACTATAGACGAGGGACTTGGGGGTCAGGATTGACCACAAGATGAACATGAGCCTTCAATGTAATGCTGCAGCTAGTAAAGTGGGCAAAACCCTGGCTTGCATTCGTAGATGCTTCTCAAGCAAATCCCAGGATGTCATTCTCCCCTTGTACTTGGCCTTGGTGAAGCTGCAGCTGGAGTACTGCATCCAGGTTTGGACTCCACAATTCAAAAAGGATGTGGAGAAGCTCAAGAGAGTCCAGAGGAGAGCCGCGTGCATGATCAGAGGTCAGGAAAACAGATCTTATGATGAGAGGCTGAGACCTATGGGACTCTTCAGCCTGGAAAAGCGCAGGCTCAGGGGCGATCTGATCGCCACCTATAAGTTTATAAGGGGTGTTCACCAGGATCTGGGGGAACGTTTGTTCACCAGAGCGCCCCAAGGGATGACAAGGTCGAACGGTTATAAACTCCTGCAAGACCGTTTCAAACTGGACATAAGGAAGAACTTCTTACTGTCTGAGCCCCCAAAGTCTGGAATAGCCTGCCACCGGAGGTGGTTCAAGCACCTACTTGTTTTTCTTGCTGGGATCCTATGATTCCAGCTAACTTCCTGCCCCTGGGGCAGGGGGCTGGATTCAATGATCTTCCAAGGTCCCTTCCAGCCCTAATGTCTATGAAATCTATGAAAGCCCATTTTAGAAAGGGATTTAAGATATGGAGGATCATCGGGCCCATGTGTTCTGAATAAACACAAAACTTGACTTGTATTTAGAATGCAAAATTTCTAAGAACACTGACAGGTTCGATGGCTAGAGTGATATACCATGTCCCTGTGGTGCATCATACAGAAAGACACTAGCTATTACAGTCTTTGACACTCACCATGAAAGCAGGGAAAGGCTGCTTAGGGTGGTTTGGCCACAGTTTACACAAATGTACAGTGAGAGCCTAGAACCCATAGTTGAAAGGCAGAAGACAGAAATAAAGGACAGAGTTAAGTACAGCACTGGCAACACACTATTTTTTAACCTCATGATCTTTAATGCATTTCAGTAACAATGTTCTAAAGTACTTTCATTATTCTTATTTAACCCTTAATATGACTTTTTGAACGTTCACATTTTTCACAGCTATAAAATTGTAATAATTTTACAAATTAATTATCTGTTTTCAGCCATTATCTCAGTTTAATTATAGAACTGTCCATTTTTACATATTTTAAGCTATTCTGTTTGCTTAGGAAATAAACAAACCTATAGGTTCACCCTTTATCCTTGCCTTATCTTTGTCTCTAGCTAGAATCTTCCTCATTGCAGTAGCTGAGTTCATGAACCTCCCCAAGACCTCTGTTATGTAAATGAACTTCTGAAGTTTAAATAACCAAAAAATACTTTTCATTAGCTGTGTTTAAGGCACTGAATAGTACTCTGATGAGGGGCCAAGAATAAATACTTCTATTAAAAATCAGACCTAATTGGACATGTCAGGCTCAGTGACTCATGTTTTATAAACTGCAATTTATATATACAAAATAAGTGACCATTTGTTTCTAAGCAAGTTAACTAGCAATTATGGGACTTGCCAGGAAGCTCTGAGAATGCATTTTATCATCTGAACTTTAGACCTTCCTTTGTTGCCATTTGCTGCAGAATGAAAAATTAGGAATGGCTGTTAATTTCCCAATTGAATTTTACCAGAGTAAACTAATTTTACTGTGCTTTATCATTCACCCTAGAACTCCTGCCAGCAACAGAAATAGGAAGAAAATGTTCTGGCAGCAGTCCTCATTTCATTTTGTGCCCTCAGATCAGGGGGTTTTGATCTATTGAGGAGTAGAGGGTAAATGCACTGAAATCAGTAACACTTCAAAGTTCTCAGCATTCACAGGACTAAGCCCTTAATTTCCTCATTTGAAAGGCATACTAATGCATTCCTCCAAGAAAGATCATTTGGTCTATGACTGTTCAAACATTCCTCCTTTAGCTAATGACTTCCTCCCCATCTTTCAGGGACCCTATACATCTATTTCAACAGTATTGATCTCTAACAAGACTACAGGGTTGACTTTAAAAGGAAGCACTATGGACTAATATGTTGTTGGAACTGACTATGGAACAAAGACAAATAGGTTCAAACCTGGGGTGCAATGTTTATTTTCACAGGAAAATGCAAAACCCATTTCTTTGAGCTATTCTCTCAAATAACACCAGCACAAATTAACTGTCACACTTCCCACCACATTGATGTATGCTCTTATCTCAGGGGCAGGCAATTATTTTGGGTGGAGGGCCACTTACTGAATTTAGGCAAGCTGTCAAGGACCACATCAGTAGCCCCACCCCTTGACAGGTGCCCCGCCCCTGGATCAACATCTTGTGAACGGAAGTCCCACCCCCTGTCCCCTGACCACTGCTACCAGAAGGCCCTCCCCTTGCTCCCAGAAATACTCCTTTCAGCAAGAGGTTTTGCCATCTCAGAACCAGAGAAATACCAAATTATATTCTTAAAATCAAACACCTACAACATTCATTAATTTGATTTCAAAAAATATTTTTGTCCTGATTTACATGCGTTTGTGTAGCATACATAGAAGTGATTGCATAATAGCTTAAAATGAAGTCTTACTCTTGTATATTGTGGGGGGCATGGAGAGGTGGGTATAGCTTTGTCTGTGGGTATGTGGGGTGTTGGGGAGGATGTGGAGTGAGGGAGCATAAGGGGGTGTGTGTGGGTATGTGGAGTGTGGATGGGTATGAGGTTTGTGGGGGGTCACGTAGCGGGGGAAGAGTGGCTGGGGTACTTGGGGGGAGGTGGGTCTGGGCGCCTGTGTGTATGGCAGTGCAAGGAGGGGAGTATGGGTGCATGTGTGTGGTGGGGTGTGCATGTGGGACACACCCTATGAACACACACATATACTCTCTCTCTCCCTCCCTCCCTCATTGCACACACACACAGTCTCTCTCTCTCTCCCTCCCTCACTGCGCATACACACACAGCCTGCCCCTTCATCGTTGCTCTCTCTGTCTCTCTCCCCCCCTCCCTCATTGCACCATGGGCCCAGTGCTCCCGCAGTCCGGTGATGTAGCCAGAGACTACGTGGTGCTGGAGCACCCAGTGGGCATGCAGGGAAGCAGTGAAAGCTGTGGCAGGCCGAGGCTTCTGGTTGCGGAGGCAAGGTGGACGGGGATAAGGGTGGGGTGGGGCCAGGCTGGCCTTACTACTGAGTCCTGCTGGCTTCCCCTGGGTCCTACTGCCCCTGGCTCCTATCATCTTTGACAGGCAGCCAGGAGCAGATAAATATAAATTTTCTACATTTTTAGGGGCTCCACAGGATGGATAGAATGGCTTGGCGGGCCAGATCTGACCCGCAGGCCATATTTTGCCCACCCCTGTCTTATCTAGAGGATAGAAATGGAAAGCAAAAAATTTATATATACCCTTGATAATTTGTTGAAGTGGTCAGATACAATAGTGATAAGTGTTGCATGAGAACATGATAAGTGTTGCATGAGAACATAGACAGACTGATCTGATATCAGATGGATGAAAGTGGGGTGTCCATAAAATGACTATAATCAGACCCAGAAACTGTGTATAGCAAGGCAGTTTAGAAGAAACATCTCCCCTCTATTTCACCTGCTTCAAAATTTTAAGGGTGCCACTACTTCATAAATTCCTGTTTGGGAAGGGGCCAACACATAATCTACATTTACTAAGGAAAGTGATTAATAGAACCCAAGAATATTCTTTTTTTTTTTAGCAACTATTTAAAATTTTAGAAACTGACACCAGTAAATAAGTAGCTGCTGTTTTGAGATTACATGTTTTTGTGATTGCAGTTGCATCTCTACAATGTATATAAAACATAATGCATGATGTCTGGTGGGTTTTTATTACCTTGTTCTTGCATACAACTTGCACCTTTTCTCCAAAAATTAGCTCCACCCCCAGCATTGGGGTGTGTGTATTAAAGCGGGAAGCCATTTTCTTTGCTGGAAAAGAAGCAGGCTTGGGGAGACTGTGCATGCTGGCATGCAGCTACCCAAATGGCTGCTGCTTGTCTGGCTCACCAAATTGAAGGGGCAGAGTCCTGCAATAACCCTCTCACAGCTGTAGCTATGGGCTGAGCATTGTAGCTTATGCCTGAAGCAGCAAGTCAGCTGCAGTAGTATTTTGATGAGGCTTGTGATGCGGAAACAACACTTTATTTACAGGAACTTATATATAAAGAATTACTTACAGCAAAGAAGTAACAGTCTTGCAACTGCCCTTGCAAGGGTCTGGGGCAGGGTTGGGCAATTATTTCGGGTGGAGGGCCGCTTACTGAGTTTTGGCAAGCCATCAAGGGCCGCATGGCAGGCAGCCAGGAGCAGATAAATATTAATTTTCTAAATTTTTTAGGGGCCCCACGGGCTGGATAGAATGGCCTGGCGGGCTGCATCTGGCCCGTGGGCCGCATTTTGCCCACCCCTGGTCTGGAGTCTAACCTTGTGTGACAGAGTAAGTCCTCCTGGAAATACAGTGTGTCCAGGAAGCATGGCAGAAAGTTCCTGCTGCCTGACCTAGGCTGTCACCAGGGATGCTACACTTCCTGGACACTCTATGCTTTCAAGAGGACTTACTGTATGTCACACAGTCAGCCAAGACTGGAAAAATCTTTTCTTTTTTAAACATTCTGCCCTCCAAAAACAAAGTGCATGTATTATTTGGGTGTATCATATATGAAAAAATATGGTAATTTTTTCCTGTACCTGGCCCTGTGCATCACTGATGTGGGTTGATCAAAATAAAATCTGCTTTGGCCTAACCTAACAACTCTTACCAAACATTTTCACTTAAAAAATAATGACCCCCTTTTAAAGAAAAGGCAGACACAGAGTAGTACTCTCAGTAAATTCCATACCATTTACCATTCCAATGCTGAACATGGCGTACACCAGTGAGCCTCCTTTTCTGAAGTGATCTGACATGTACTCCAGCCAATTTGCTTCTAAGCTGTTGACTGTCTGCCCATTTCTGGAGATCCTCATAGGAATTGTCACAGCGTAATAATGGTTGCATCTTTGTTGGGTCTTTGGCTTGTTGAAGAGAACAAAGAATTCTGTTGCTAAAAATGGAATAAAATGGCATTACTATAATAAAGGACATGTTGTATAATTAACGTATTAAAGTATCACACTTCTACCATCCTTGCCTGCTTGTCTTTCAACCTGTAATCCTTCAGGGATAGATAGTCTCCTTTATGGGTTTGTACAGTGCCTCATACCACAGGGTCCCAAGTCCTGATTGCTGTCATAATATTGACTACTAAAAACAAACATAAAAATCTAGTAGGTCTCGCTGTCTGACGAACAGTCTATCGGCATACATAAACAACCTGCCAGGAACAAATGAACTCTACTGACTGAATTTATTATTGTAGAATTAAAATAGTGCTGGCTAGTTAACCAAAACTGTTTATTTATTTGCTCCTACACGAGCTATATGAAGTTTACTGTTACCTATGATACCAAGGGCTCCACAGAAATATGAGATCTTGCTGGAAATTTAGAGAAAGTTACAATCCTAATGCCATAACCATTAACTAAAGTAGTAAAGAACACACAGAGCTGGCAAACGAGAGAGTCAAATTCAGAAAGCTACAGTGGACCATACACTAAGGACACCAAACAGACTGTATGGTTGATTTATTCTGTGACTAGGTCAGGGTAAAGTAGAGACAAGAATAGAGGAACAGGGATGAATGTAAAACACAGAAAATGTAGAAGGCCTGTAGGCAGCTTGGAAGTGTTTAAAAATACCATATTAGAGTCTCAGGACAAGTGTACAAATCAAAAAGAATACCAACTGGACTAATAAAACCCTGCATGGTTTAACAGCAGAGTTAAGGAAGCCATTCAAAACAAAGAAAACATCCTTCAAAAAAATGGAAGGCATGCCCAAATGAAGAAAATAGGAAAGCTCATAAACTCTAGCAGGTCAAGTGTAAAAGCAAAATAAGGCAGGCCAAAAAAAGAATTTGAGGAGTGTTTAACAAAAGATGCTAATCATAGAAACTTTTAAAAATACATTAGAAGTGAGAGGATTGGTGGAACCATTAGATGACCAAGGTATAAAAGGTGCATTCAGGGATGATAAAACCCTAGCAGAAAAGTGGAATTACTTCATTGCATCATTTTTTACCAGAGAAGATACTGGCACCATGGTGGATCAATCCTTTCTAGTAGATAGGTCTAAAAAGTTGGACCACATTGATGTGACAACAGAAGAAGTTTTGGGATAAATCAATTTATGGAGAGTCCAGAGAAGAGCCACGCGCATGATCAGACGTCAGGGAAGCAGACCCTATGATGACAGGCTGAGAGCCCTGGGGCTCTTTAGCCTGGAAAAGCGCAGGCTCAGGGGTGATCTGATGGCCACCTACAAGTTTATCAGGGGTGACCACCAGTATCTGGGGGAACATTTGTTCACCAGAGCGCCCAAGGGATGATGAGGTCGAATGGTCACAAACTACTTCAAGATCGTTTCAGGCTGGACATAAGGAAGAATTTCTTTACTGTCCGAGCCCCCAAGGTCTGGAACAGCCTGCCACCGGAGGTGGTTCAAGCGCCTTCATTGAACACCTTCAAGATGAGACTGGATGCGTATCTTGCTGGGATCCTATGACCCCAGCTGACTTCCTGCCCTTTGGGCAGGGGGCTGGACTCGATGATCTTCCGAGGTCCCTTCCAGCCCTAATGTCTATGAAATCTATGAAATCTATGAAAATTAATACTAATAAGTCACCAGAACAGAAGGCATGCCCCCAAGAGTTCTGAAAAAATTCAGAAGTGAAACTGCAGAACTTCGGAAATAGCATGTAAAACTTACCATTACATATGGCCTTGGTGCTAGAGGACTGGAGGGTTGCCAACATAACACCTATATTTCAAAAGGGCTCCAGAGGTGATCCTGGGAACTACAGACCAGTAAGTCTCACACCCAGCCTTGGTAGGTTGTTAGAATCTATAATAAAGGATAAAATCAGCAGTCACATGGACAAATATGATCTGCTGGGGAAGAGCCAACATGATTTTTGTAGAGAAATCCTGCCTCACCAATCTGCTGGAGTTCTTTGAGGATGTTAAAACAAGCACTTGGACAAGGGGGATCCAGTCAATATAACAGATTTGGATTTTCAAAAACCACTCAACAAGGGCCCTCAACAAAGGCTTTTAAAAAAATTGAGTTGCCACAGAATTGGAGGGAAGGTTCTTTCATGGATTGAGAGGTGGTTACAGACAGGAAGCCAAGGGTAGAACTAAATGATCCCTCCTTCAGTTGATCATACTGGGGGAACAACAGCCAGGGAATTTTTTTTAAGTCTACAGAACAAGTAAGAATTTCCCTCCCTTCCCCTCCATGTTCAGCAGCACATTTCTTCTCCTCCCTCCCCAACTCGTACCACACTGCCTCCAGTTATCCCAGGGGCGAGGGTGGAAAGCTCCAGAGCCAGTCCTGCCTGCTCCAGTTGGGCTTCATGTGGAGCGAGTCTCACGCTGGGACAGGAGCCAGTGTGGGGGAAAAGCAACTCACCTACTGCTGCTGCTGTCTCTAGCCAAGCCTAACTCCACCTACAATCCAGCTGCAGTGGGGCAGGAGTGGCTCTGGAGTCTTCCCTGCTCCCAGGTTAGTAGGGACAGCAGTAGGTGGGGGTGGGAGTGGGAGTAGAGGGAGGGAAATAAAAGGAAGGGCATGTGCTATTGAGCACAGAGGAGAAAGGAAGGAAGATTTTCTACCTGCTTGAAGGACTTAAAAGTTCTTTACTGCTGCTCCTTTGGTGCAGTGTGTATGCCCTGGAATGGGGAGGCGAGTAAGAGCAGGGGTAGCAGCCTGGTCGTTGCTCCCACATACCCTCATTCACAAAATTATGGATCTGCCCATGAAGAAAAATAACCTCAACCCTGCCAAATGCAGGGTTCTGAGCTAGTGTTATGACTCAGGACAGAGACCTTGGAGTCATTATAGATGGTTCTCTAAAAACATCACTTCAATATGCAGTGGTGACCACAAAAAGTTGGTCATCATTAAGAAGGGAACTGAAAGCAAAATGGAGAACATCATCATGTCACCATACAAAACCATGGGTCCACATCTTCAATGCTGTGCAGAGTTTTAAAACTGGAAAGGATACAGAGATGGACAACCAAGTTTATGAGGGGTATGGAGTAGTTGCCATACCAGGAGAGACTGAAAAAGGCAAGGAAGTTTTTCACTGGTTTCAATGGGAAATGGATCAGGCCTTTGAGTGCAGGAATAAAGGTACAAATATAAACATATAAAATGTTCAGCAAAGGACCTGCCCAACCTGTATTAAAAACTGTTAATGGTAGATAGAGCAAAAATACTTTTGGTATGGTTTCAGAAAACAGTGTTTTCCAACAGGCTTTAAAAATATTTAGTTAGATTTTGTCAAGTCCACTTAAAAGTCATTTTCAACATAGATCTGGAGGACCCCTTCCTGAAAGCTATTTACAATGGTGCAATTTTCAAGTTTGGACACAGCTACAAATATATGGGGTCAGAAATACTGAATTCAAAATAAAATGAGATACGTGGAATGGAAATCTGTCTAGAAAATGTATCATCATCATCTGTCTAGTTCTGTAGGGTATCAGTTCCTAGCAGATATAAAAGTAAGAAAAGGTTCATGACTGAATAATCCCACAATCTAACTTCTAGCAAGAGAATAACTTCTATTTAAGCAGATAACTGCTTGAGGTCACAAAGGAATATGAGGAAGCCCTTGGAAGAGTGTCTTGTGCTTATGTGGTCAGTGTGAAAGTACTGCATATCTGGGGGAAGTACACAGCATTTAGCAATACACGTACAAGGGAGTAGAAAATTTATTAAAAAATAAGGAAGAATCATGAGCTCTACAAAATCCAAAGAAATACCACAAGCTGGGAAAATATAAAAATGACGAGAGAGAGACCCTTAGTCAAAGAATGAAATTAAGATTATGCAAACAGTGACAAATGTTACAACTTTTTCCAAGGAGAAGGAAAGAAGTGTGAAAACCAAGAGAAACTAGGGCTATCTGATGAAGAAAAAAGGCAACTAAAGAAATGTACAGGGATTCTCTACCTCAGTGTTCACAACAGAAGATAGAAGATGATGCCAAAGGCTGAAATATATTTTACAGAAGAGGAAAAGCAAGTACTGTAAGAACTCAAGGTGACACAAGAAAAAGAAATCTGTCATGCTATTGAGATAATATATTTGTAAATATCCAGCTACAGGTGAGTTAATTCATTTTCTCTTTCACAAAGATATCTTTCCAGATCCCTACTCTGAAAACTACTAGCATTGCTCACCACAGATATTTGATCTGAAATTCTCCAAACTCAGAAAGGTCAACAGAGATTAAGAAAATGAAAGAAAGTCAGCAACTGAGGTAAATTTTTCTTGAACTTCAAAGGCCTTAAAGTCAGTTTCACAGCTAAAAGATTTTAGCAAATGTTCAAAAAGATGGTCCTGAATGAGACCCCCAGAAGTCTGAAGAGAGATAGAGGAATGGGATGAGAAACAAGAGAAGAGGTGTTCTTCAGACGGGACAACACTGGGGCCGGGTATAGATACTATACTTTTATCAGTATAAGTGATCGGAAACTGATCTATACCCATAACAGAACAGAAGCTCAGCACACAAAAATGGTCTATACCTGCAGCAGAACAGAAAATGTTAGGCACACAGACTGGTTTAAAAATGGCAGAACCCAGTCTAAAATTTGCGCCCCCTTTCCCCTCACCAAAGGGCGGATGTGTTTTCTGCTCACTACCAATCTAACTATGGCACTTACAAAAACCATGCAACTTAGATCAATTCCATGTCAAGCTTTTTCAATGCCTTTACCTAACCTGGAAGTCAGATTGGAACCAGGTTTTCCTTATTCTAAGTATACTGTGACCCAGATAAGGAAACAAAAAATAGAGTTAACAAAATCTTTAGAGGACAGCGATTAAAGTCTTTAGTGGACAGCAAACGTAAAGAAGGGCAGTCAACCTAACAATGCATTAGACAAGAAAGTAGGAAAATTCAGGAAGAGGATCTCACAGTTCAGTGTAGAAAAGTGCAAAGCACAAACAGAAAACAGAACCTAGGACATGTGAATTCACAAAACTATAATTTATAAAGGGAAATGGTCTGTTTGAATTGGGCATAATTTATGTAGCAGCATAAATGAGAAACTACAAATGTAGGATATCTGAAGTTCTAACATAGGTCAGGATAAATTATTTTCAATAAGGGGTCAGAGACTAGGACAACTAGCTCGGGTATACCTTGACTAAATCTGGCTGCCTGACTTCCCAACAAACAATAAAGTACAGCCAAAGATGGCTAGTTTAATTCAGAAACTCTAAAACCTGAAATATACAAAAAGATGCAAAAGAAATCAGGTCATACTTATTAGCAGGGATCCTGGTTTTCTCTGATAAAAAGATCCCCAATTTTCAGATTAAAGTGCAATCCAAACTCCACATTTTTCCATGATTACAATGAAACACATCTGTGTTTATATATATATATATATATATATATATATATATAGAGAGAGAGAGAGAGAGAGAGAGAGAGAGAGAGAGGTGTTTCATTGTAATCATGGAAAAATGTGGAGTTTGGGTTACTTTTTTAATCTGAAAATTGGGTATTTTTTTATCAGAGAAAACCAGGATCCCTGCTTATTAGTCTCTTCCACAGAGAGTGGCTCCCACTACCACATACAAACTCCCACAAAGAACAAAACAACTGGTTGAATTTTTGAAAAATGTGAGGAAAGGACTGAGACCTACTCTTCTTAACTGAAATGATTACTTGTACTAACAGTTCATACAAGAAAATTCAAATAAACGACACAGTAACAGAAGCCGGTGTAAAAAGTAAAGTTAGGCAGGCCAATGGAAGAAAAAATGATAAATTATTAATCATGAGTTTCATAGAACCATAGGATCACAGATCTGGAAGGAACCTCAAGGGTTGTCTAGTTTAACCACTTAACACAAATGTGAGATGTACTATATCTATTTAATTCCAGACAAATGCTTAATTAGACTCTTCTTGAAAACTTCCAATGAAGGAAATTCCATAACGTCTGAGCAAATTTTCCCACTAGCCTATTGTTCAGATGGGCAAATACAAGAGGGAAATCAATCAAATTTTGGTGGTCCAAGGACATCAATATTAGATGCAGGGATCAACATCAAAGAAGTTCAGCTGAACAATACCAAAAAAGAGTTAGAAAAATGTACCTTGACGTGTAAGATGTTTGGCACATGACAATGCAACTAAAGTCAGCTTGAGGACAGAACTCCAAACCTGACATGGCAAATTCCCCTGCAAAATCTATCCATGACACCATCACCACAAAGGCAAATAAACCTTACTGATCATAATAGAGCTGCATCTACTTACACTGATCTGTTTTTGTCACCTGGTCTTCTATTTCTCATACAGTTTCCTATACACTTAAGCTATCATGAACTATGCAGCTAAGTTTAAGAATGGGCTCAAAGATTTTCTTTTTCCCATTGTGTACACTTGTTTCTCCAAGGTGTTGTGGACTTAGTAAAGCCAGTTTTAAAATTAACTTTTGCATAGCAGAGTGATCACTACAGTACTTACTTCCAGTAAGAGGTTCTGACGCGTCACTTTCTGTTGCCCCTTCCTTCTCATCTGTGGTTTCTGTTAGCCTTAGTGAAATGCTCAGGTTCTCCTGTTGTAATTGCTCTCCATTTTCCCCTGCAGAATTTAAGCTCAAGTGCTCAGTAACCTGTCCTTCACCCTCCTGACTGTCACTTGACTCTGCACATTGGTCAATGTTTCCCTCATTTGGTGTTGGAGTCTTACACCCATTAATACCATCTGTTTTCTCGTTATCCAATGAAGCATGATCCTCAGGATAGCCCGATGCTTTTTTTACATTTCTCACTTGTACAGAGTTGTTACCAGTGGGCATCACAGTGTTCTTCTGGGAATGGTACTGAGGTATGACTCCAACAAACTTCAAGCCTAGACTTGCTGCATCATGAATCTACAAATCACAGGAGATTAAAAGGTTTTAATTTGCAAATTATCTTATACCAAAATAAACTTTTTGAAAATAACATGTTAAAGAGTCTAGCATGCCATTTTACCACTTTATCTGCTACTCTAGGAAATTGTCATAATCATCTTTACATAAAAAAGTTAAATTCTAGAGAAGTAAAATTATACAAGTTATTTATGTGGTCTGTAAAACATGAAAATACAAAGAAGAAAAAGAAGGCTCAGTTATATGCATTGGCTTTCTTCCAGGAAATGAAATACCTGTTTGAAAGCCTTCCTTAATGCCAGATTAACATATTTAGAATTACCCAAATCAAGTTTTGGTATCAGTGTAATGAAATTTGGGGTTAGCATTGGTGGTGTATTCCCTGGGTATGCAGGGGAAAGTTCATAATTTTTCCTGTATACATTAATACCACAATTCTTTCTTTGTTCCTTATTTTAAATTTAAAAACAAATGACAAACTTTCACATGATGAGGTTAAAAAAACCAATGTTCAGTACCATTTAGTATCTGAACTATATATTTTTGTAGTTTGGAGTTCTGATAAAATCAAAAAAACTAAAAGGATACACAGTTTTTTTGATTTTATCAGAACTCCAAACTACAAAAATATATGGTCTCAGAATAAAGAAGTTCTTGCACCTGATATGACTGCCATGTAACTCTTCACAATTAGAACATCCTAATTATTCCCTTCAGTATTATTTAAAACGTACATAAATAAAAGCAGTACAGGCCCTTTGGAAAGAAGAAAAGGATGGATCCTCAGGGAAGCCCTCACATGATTTCCAATGCACAGTGGTGAGAGATACAAAAAGAAAGAAGTTTGCAGTGTGAACAATACACAATCAATTTAAAAAAAAAAAAAGAGGAAATTTCTTTCTGCATTTGCCCTCTCCCAACCCCCCAACAATTTTTTTTATGAATCATCTGCTTCCTGGTAATCACATTATCATCCTTAACATATATGCTACCTACAGATTAAATCTGATCAACAAAAAGAACTTCCTCTTTCAAATCATTGTTATTTTTTCCATGTTTAACGAACTATTGAAGACTGCAATAGCAGGAACTGAAGCACGATTGCCCAGGAAACAAAGCACCAGTCAGCAGGACATACATGCAGGTGTTTAGCCCGAGAGACATGAGCTGCCAACTGGAGCTAAACTCATTGCTGAGGTGGGATTACAACTCCATTGCAATCTCCTATGAATTAGCACTGAAGTAAAAATGCTATTTACAATGCCCTAATTTAACAGAAGAAAACATGACAGAATTACAGGTCTACATAAATAAATAGTAGTATTTTATTTGTATTAGACTAGAAGAAAGTCAGTATGTGAGCAGCTTCCTCAGCTTGGTTCAAATGAATACAGATGACATGACAATATGTCTAATGTGTCTGCCTCCCTATTGCAATTTTACAAATACTTTTAATACATTCATTATTACCTAGGGTTACAAATTCTGTTCATCTTCCAGTGCTAATGTAAATTGCATTTGTATAGTAAGATGCCAGCTCAGCTAATTATAGCAATGCAACTAGTAGTCAACTGCCAGGGTCTCTGTACCATACAGGTGCAATAATTTAATGGTCTTGGAACACTGGTTGTCAACCCATACCAGGCTAATATGTATCATACCTTGAATACAGTGGTTTCTACAAGTACTGCAGCATTGTGTTAATATCTGAGCACACCCAGAAAGGTGTGCGTTTTTAAAAAGAGCTGTTTTTGAAAACCAGCTCTGGCTAATCCTAATAGTGCAGGAATCCTCACTCATGTTATACAAACTGAAAATAAAAAACATTTTATGGAATTTATTTCAAAAGCCCCATACAAATAAGTTCATAGGGAATAAAGCAATAACTAGAACATAACACCCATTTCCAATCCCATTACATTTGTTCCCAGTGAAATCAGTGGGGTAATCATATTGGCTAGGGACAGACATTCAAAAAACTTGAGCCTGAATTGATTCAATTTTTGCAGGTTAGTCTAACCTGGCTCAGCTGAATCAGTTTGTAACTGAACAGACATCCCAGACATGCATGCCTGCAGTGGCTCAGGCTAGACGCTGTGGGGCGCTAAAGCAGCCCTTCCCTTCCCTTCCACAGTACTGAGCTGAGGGGCCGGGGTTTGGCCTGGCATGGGCAGGATGCTCTGACCAGCCCAGCAGGGAATATATAACAGTGTTTATCACCCCTAACTTAGTGTTTATTACCCCATTAAGAAAACAACAGAGGGACATTACTAGCTACCCATTGATTCTGCCTGTTGATTCTACCTGTTGATCCAGCACAGACGGTAGCCAGCATGTGGCCTGCTAGCTAATGCACAGACAGCTCTCAGCAAGGCAGAGTGGAGGGGGGACTTCCTGCTTAGCAGGGAGTGGTGAGGGTGAGTGGGGGAGCAGCCTGCAGTCTCTGCTGGAGTTGCAGCCAGGGAGTAGAGGGGAGGGGCCAGCGCTGCTGTGGAGCAGAGAGCCCCTCCCAGCCCAGAGAGCATGCTGGCTCAGGCTAGAAGCCAGGAGGTGCTAGAGCAGCCCTCCCTTCCCTTTCAGTGCTGAGCTGAGGGTGGGCATGGCCAAGCCCTGGCAAGTCATTCTGATTAGGGAGGGGTCTTCCCACCCTTTTCTGACCAGCCCATCAGGGAATTGATAACACAGTGTTTATCACCCCTAACTCAGTGGTTATCTCCCCATTAAGAAAACAAAAGAGGGACATTACCCTCTGCCTTTGTCTTGTCTGCCAAAGCAGGGACCGTAGCTAGCATGTGGTCCGCTATCTAATGCTGAGAGGTGTCTGTGTAAGGCAGAGGGGACAGGGCAATCCCTGCTTAGAAGGGAGTGGAAAGGGGAGGAGCAGAGGGATGCCAAGCAGATGCCTGAAGTCTTTGCCAAGCTCCTGCCAGTGAGCAGAGGGGAGGGACCAGCTCTGCTGTGGAGCAGAGAGCCCCACCCAGGCCAGAGAGCATGCCGGGATGCTGGTGGAGTCTGGTTTATCTTAAACCAGCAAGGGGTCTGGGACAGACATGGCATAAACTGGTTTGACCCAAATCAGTTCAATCTGATGGTATATTCAACCAGGTTTATCTCAAACCGGTTTCAGCCATTTTCAAACTGGTTTATGTGCACTAAACATCTGTTCTGTTACAGGTTTAAACCAGTTTCTGATCACTTAAACCAGTTTATATGTAATGACTGTCCTTAGCCATTGTTACATTTCAATGAGCTAGTGGAATTAGGTTACACTAGCAGTTCAAGAAAAAGTATAGCCTAGTCAGGTGATACATCAACAGATGTAACAGTTCTTCTCTCCCTTATCACCACTCTAAAAACACATGAAGGATTTGAATGAAATAATTAACTTTTAGCATTTTATAGTTTTAACCTACAGCACTGTTAGTTTGGTTTTAGGAATCCTATCTAGAACACTAAGAAATGTATAGTTTCTTCTCTATAAGCCCAAAATGTATGAATTAACTTGAGTCAGTGGCATGGCATCTTACAGGCTCTGTATTGTGTTTGCCCTTATGAATTCACTAGCAAACTGCTTGTCAAGAATGATGGGGGGGGAAGCTTGCTAACCCTTACTCTCCCCCATGCTGTTGCCATCTCCCAGGAGCAGGTGGGGGAAACTTGCCCTGCCATCCCCTCCATCCCCCTCTGCCAGCACTCTGCACCACTGCTGACTCCAAGGAGCACAGCTGGGAGGAGTGGAGGGGGTGAGGCCAGCAGCGTTGGCCTCACCCCCCTGCTCCATCTCTTTCATCCCGACTGTCATGAAAGCACTCCGCCATGCTGCTGCTGCTGCCGCCTCCTGTCTGTAATGCTTTAGGAGCACTGATTGTTTCAGGGGCAACTTAGTCAGGGAGGGCATGTGCCCCTCCCCCCCCCCCAGCAAACATTCAGCGACTGAGACATTGGGAGGGGGGGATTCCTCCCACAGTCAATCTCGCTGACCAGGGTTGGTGGGAATCCCCCTGCAGCCAATTGCATCAACCAGGAAGCAGCCGCAGTGCTTCATCCAGTGCTCTCACTCCCCAGCTGGTGCTTGCAGGGGGGACACCAGTTTTCCTGCCTGCCCGCCCTGCCCATCACCTAAGCGGGGAGCATGGCCTGTCAGGGGGTGCACCAGCGCTCTCAGGGGATGTACGTGCACCCCTGTGCACCCACTACGCATCGACACTGGATTTTTTGTTTCAGCAACCAATCAGAGTGCTCCAAGAGTGTTATAGACATACAGACAGATGGACTAAGCCCTTTATTATATTAGAATAAAACAAACATTTACTTAAATCTTCCATGTTTTAAAAATATATTACTACATTTTCTCAGGATTTTTCAAATATAAATATCTAACATTTTGGTAAACATCTTTTTGAAACATCATAAAGCCATTGACATGTACCTTTATTTTAGGTTTCAATTTCTCACTAAATTTTACTGACATTTACAAATCAGTTTTAAAATAATATTTGATTATGCATTCAAATAATCTATGGGCTTGCGAAATTTCAGTTCACAATGATTATGAAGTAGCTGAAGTAATGCAACTAAAGGCCCATAGGAAATCTACTGAGAATAAGTCCTAAGGTACAATGGGGCTAGAGGTGGGTGCTAGTATAAGAGAATGTTGGGGTGAAAACCTGAACTTGTACCACTGAATGAAGTGGACGCAACATGGGCAGCACATTAATAAACTCATGACAGGCCAGCTTGGAGGAATTACTCCACTAGCATCAATGACTCAGTTCTAGCCATAAAAGGAGCATTCCCAAAAGCTTCTGCAAAGAGAGTCATGCACAAGCTCTTTTGGGGTGAGGCTCAGGATAAATGTTCAGCAGTTAAAAATCAAAAAGTAGAAGATGGTTTCTTGTTGTTTCATACTGTATATACTAATTAGATGACTGCATTTTTTTTAAATAACAGTGTGATATACATATTAGTGCTACAACCTGCTCCTTGTCAAAGTTGAATGC